ATTGCTTAAAAAACAGCATGTTTTGAACTAGATTCCCCTTTAGAACTGGATAACAGATACAGAAAAGTAGCGTCTGTTCCGTGTACTGTGACCCCTGAAACCATTTCCTTGTTTGTGCTACTGTCAGTCATAAAACACAGCTGCTAAATGTTTGAGTCCCTCTTTGCCCCGTGTTATTCTGTTTGTGTACTGTCACTGCTAAAAAAATCAAATAAAGGAAAAGTGAAAGAAGGCAAAGAGAATTATTGACTCCCTGAGACGCAAGACAATGTCCTACCAGAGGAAAGATGCTTAGATTCCCTCATGACAGGTACTCATAGATTTTAGATTGTAAGCCCTCAGGGGCAGGGCCCTCCTTACCATTTTGTCTTGAATTGTATTGTGATTGTAATGTCTTCCTTATATTGTAAAGCGATGCGCAAACTGTCGGTGCTATATAAATCCTGTATAATAATAATAACAATAATAATATCCCTCTAACTGGATGGTGAAGGAAAGGTCTAGCAGAAAAATATAGTTTACCTTAAAATGTATTTCCACTTTTGCAGTAAAATTTAAGAAAAACCCCTCTATATGTTTGTTATGTGTTCCCATTCACACAGCATAATGAAAAATCATTTTTTAAAACATATTTCTTACCTTTTAGATGCTTTGTTGCAGCAGGCAAGATGGCTGAATCCAATTTTTTTGAGCACCTTCACAGTGACCTGTCCTTATAAAAAGACTGAGGACAAGAATGTGTGGAATGTGTTTCCCTCATTAACATACAATGCACAAGCCCAGCTTTTCATTCTTTAAAGGAGAACTATGGGGTCAGGGCTTTTCCCCATAGTTCTCCTTAGGGTAACGGGAGGACACAATCTAGCGTCCTCCCGTTACCCTAAGCTCAGTATACCGCGAGCTACAGCTCGCGGTATACTGAGACGCCGCAGCCGGAGCGGATCCTGACATCGATGTCGAGATCCGCCCAGCTTCGTGAGTAGGCTCTGCCTATCTAGAGACACGGCCAGCTGTACCTGCCCCATCCCCTGTCCGTTCCGCCAGTCAGCGCTGGGGGATCGGAGCGGGGAGGGGGGAATCCAGGCCCTCCCCTGTCACGGCAGAGAGCCGTGACAGGATCGAGAGGTGAGTGAACGCCGCTATGTGTTCGCTCACCTCCCGATCTACTGAGCCGACCTGTGACAGTCTCATTGTCACAGGTCGGCTAGAGCTATGAGGTGAGTGGAAATCACTCATCTCATAGTTCTCCTTTAACTTAGTTTAGTTTTCGAATCTCCTTTACAGATGATAATGAACAAACCCCTCACAACCCCTCCTAACACTAGAAATGTTAACCCTTAATGCGGACCTTTATTCATATCTTTAAAATAACAACAACCACACCTTTAGAAATGTTTAGTAATGACAATCTACAAACACATACTTCTAGATAAGTGTCGGCTTTGTAATCTTTGCATACCTTATGTCTCTTTTCTTCCCCAGTCTTCTGACAGTAGCCATGCTTTCTAAGGGAAGAATACTAGCTATCCTTTTACTTCCTAGATTTCTGGCACATGTGACCATGCACATCATCTCAGGGGAGGAAAATGCCTTTCCCTGAGATCTCATGAGATTACAGATGAGATTTTGCAGCAATGCTCTGCTGATGACAAGGCAATCCCAGTGTGCATTGCTTTGGCAAGCTGAAGTCATTTTGCACTTTCAAAGCAGGAAGTGAATGCTCTGCAAGTGTAAGTATTTCATAATCACAGCATTTTGCACCTAACATGTCTATGTTATTATCAGTGGCGGAGCTAAGGAACAAAGGGCCCTGGTGCAAGATTTTTTTTTGGGCTCCCCACCCCAAAAAAAACCCACAAACACAGCGTTCTCCTTCCGCAGGGCTCGGCCGGCTGTCACTTTCTCTCCTCCGCGCTGGGAGACAGAGCAGCGTCCAGCGGGGGAAAAAGAAAGCACGGATGCACCGCTGTATCAGCAGAAAAATTGCACTTTCGGCATTATGCCAAAAGTGCCATTTTCGGCCAATATGTTTTGGCGGCCAATATATGGTGCAGCCCTAATATTTACAGCAATGCAGAATGGCACAGGCTATAGAGGACTACACATCCCAGCAATACTTTATATAACAATAGCATTTCTGTATAAAGTACTGCTGAGATTTGTACTTGATTTTTGAGTGTTAAGGTCTGCTTAAGGAAACCCTAACCCACGTAAAAAGCAATTTAAACCACAAGAAGTTTTTCTTCTTTAATATTTTTTTCTTTGTAGCTTATGGTATGTATATGGGAACATGTAACATATCTACAGTAAGTGTTATCCCAATTTGGATGCAAAAGTGGAAATACATTTTAAAGAAGAACTGCTGGGAGAATAATTTTTAATCCTTGCAGCAGGGCTAGGTTTTTCGTCTAGGGACGAAAATAAAGAAGTTATTCTCACCTGAATCTCTCAGCCAGCTGGCTGTTAGACTGATCCCTGCAGCCCCTCTCTCCCTCCACTCCAGCGATGGAATATCACTCGGAGTCCACATGTCCTATACACGGTATAGGATGTGATCATTCCCAGGACCTCAGCCTCTAGATAGGCAGAGCAAGCTGTCAATCACGCAGCTGCCCAGATAGCAAGGATACCTTTCCACAAACTTGTGTCAGGGTTAAATTGTAATTCTTGTTAACTTGTTGCACACATTGCTGGCAAGTTGCAGAATGGGCTTTTAGTGCGTTCCAGGGCGTTTGCATGCATTTTTGATGCGTTTGCATGCGTTCCAGAGCAGGTAAAATAGGGCTCGCTGCAGTTTTTTTTACATGCTCTGGAACTGAACGCTGCGGTGTGAACTAGAGCCCAAAATACCATTGGAATACATTGGACGCAGTTTTGATCCGGTCTGTAACTGCTCTGCTCCTGGAACGTGCTTGGTGTGAACAAGGCCTAAGTGATTATTGTTGATGTTATTACAGATTTCAGAAAGAATGAGGCCCAGTGCAGACCTATGTGATCCGGGATCGCGCGGTCCTGCACAATGCAGGCCGCGATTGCCGCACAACCCCATTGATTTCAATGGGATGACACCTGCGCGACAATCGCAGAAAAAAGGTACATGTACTTTTTTCTTGCGATACACAACAAGCGGCTGTCGCGATCCGCCCCGGCGTGACTGGGGTGCCATTAGGAAATAATGGCACCCACAGCGCGATCGGTGCACACCTTGGCGACTCCTGACCGCGTGGCAATCTGAGTGGAATCGTGCACAATTGCCGCGCAGTAAGGCCTGGTTCACACCTAGGCGTATTGCATATGTGCGTCTGTCGCGATTCACGGTAAAAAAAATTGCGCGACAAACGCGCGTTTCCGAGGGCTACTTGGCTGTATCCCAATGGAAACGCGCAACAAAAACGGCCCAAAGTAGTACATGTACCTTTTCAGGCGTGGGCCGTTTTGTAGCGCGTTAGGGACGGGCTGAAATACGCCAAGGTGTGAACCAGACCCATTGAATTCAATGGGATTTAGATGTTTGAGCGCTTTGTAGAGCGTTCATCGGGCGTAGAACGCACTACAAAACGTTCAGGTGTGAACGGGGCCGAAGGTGTCGCCTACGTGTGCACCGGCCCTGACTCTTGGGTCACACCACTGACATAAAGTAGAGTTGCAGGTAGGCTGTAGTCCTGACCATAAACTGCATTCACATGGGGCATTCTGAGATTTCTGTGGCAAGAACTTACAGATGAGGCACATTGCCGGTTTAAATGTCCACAACTCGTGTTGACTGTTACTAGGAAGTCTGAGATATTTTTGCCTGTTTTTGGGTATCGTGTGGCCTCCATGTCAGGGGCAAGGAGTTTCTACACTATTATCAGTCTTGGAATTTAGCATGTGCACTCAGTAACCTGGTGGCATCCTGGAAGACAGAGGTCACCCTATGCGGAAAAGTCTAAAGTGTTCAGTTTTATGAGTGCTGGGATGGAACAGATAAGAAGGGTTTGTGCAGTTCTCCTGCTTTTACCTTTGTTCCTGCACATTTAAAGTGACACTAAACTCAGGAGTTAAAGGAGAACTATGAGGTGAGTGCTTTTCACTGACCTCATAGTTCTAGCCGACCTGTGACAATGAGACTGTCACAGGTCGGCTCAGTAGATCGGGAGGTGAGCGAACACATAACGGCGTTCGCCGGCAGGGATCATCAAGGTGTCCGTCCTCAACTCTCCTACCTTGGAACTTGTACAATCAAGATACTACAAGAACAGGGGTGGGCAACTCTAGTTCTTCAGCTGCTATGGAACTACAAATCCCATGAGGCATTGCAGGAATCTCACAGCCACAGACATGACTCCCAGAGACAGATGCAGCATGGGAATTGTAGTTTAATCACAGCTGGAGGGCCAGAGTTTGCCTATCCCTGCAGTAGAACCTTGATCCCAAAGCAGCCTCTGTGTGTATTCTAGCGATAGCAGCTGCCATGTTGCTGGCACTCTATGGCTGGAATTGCGCTCCAGCCGTCATTCAGACTATGGGGTCGTTTTATAAAATGTTCGCAGAGCGAACATCTCTACGAAGGTTTACATTTTAGATTCACAGTGCATTATGGTCACTAGATGGAGCTTGGGTGAATAGACGTGTCATGTTTTATAAATACATCCCATAATGGGAGCGTAACAGGGCAATTTCCAGAGGCTTTTTTTGCAAATTTTCAAAACACGGCCGGTATTACAGGAACAGAATCGCACAATTTTGTCCTCATACACTTTCAAATGGGAGCACCTGAACAATGTATGTTTTTTTTAGATGCCCCCCCTAAAACTGATCTATGGGTGGCCCCAACTTGTGATTACAGGTTACAGATCACTCCTCTGGTTTCCATAGCAGCATTCAACGCATGCTGCCTGTGAACAGGACACATATCTCCACATGTGATAGAAGCGGCCTCCTTCCGCACCACAATGAGCTCCCTCAGAACTGCACACACGTAGCACCCTGGATTCAGCACCGCGGACAGCGCATGCGTGACAACCCCAGACCGCGCCTGGCGTGATCCCCTATCTCCTCCCCATGGCAACGGCTGAGCCGCCTCGTCCAGCCACCGGGCTGTCAGAGCGCCCGACGTCACGGTGTCACGTGCCCGGCTCGACCCACGTGGTCAGGGGGAAAGCGTGCGCCCCGCGCTCCTCCCCCTCTCCTCCCAGGTCAGTTGTGGCAGAGTTCGGAGCAGGCTGGAGGTGTACATGACACCGGCTGGGGGTCGCTGAACCATGCTGCGCCATGACGGCAGGAAGGTGGCCAGGAAGTCCTCTCTGGACGGGCAGTGCTGGGAGGAAGCGGAGGCTCGAGGCAGACTGTTCGCCAGTAAGAGCCTGCACAGAGGGGAGAGCTCCAGGAGGAGCACCGAGTCTGAAGTCTATGATGATGGGACCAACACTTTCTTCTGGTGAGCTCTACCTTATGTGCCCCCTCCTCTCATTGGCTCACCCTAAGCTTTGCACAGTGCACCCCCTCCCCCCTACACTTATGGTAGAGCTGCTGTAGTACTACAAGTTCCAGCATGGAGTCCTGTGTGTGATCAGAGTGATTTATAGAAGGAAAAGCTGGATCAGAACTTCCTGTGACTTGGCATATTAATCGCTCTGTAAGGAGTGACTGCTAATTCTAACTGGTCCAGTCCTCTTATCCATTGTTCCAGTGTTAGCACCCCCACTCCTCCTCCTTCCCCCAACGTGTTGTCCTTTAAATCCTGTGCACAGACCTCAGAGGGTCCTGGGATGGAGCCCGCTGCATGTCCAACCCATCAATATTTACTGAAAAAGACCAGTTGCTGCTGGTTCTCAAAGAGATGTCCAGCCCTGGGGGGTGTCTGATGAGGACATAGACATGCACACTTGACATATAGGGGTATGCATTTTTTTTATGCGGGTATCTGAGGAGCGCATAAACATACACCCTTGGCATATAAGGGGTATGCATGTTTATTTGGGGGGTATCAGATAAGCACATAGACATGCACACTTGGCATATATGGTTATGCTTGTTTATATGGGGATATCTGATAAGGACATAGACATGCACACTTGGCATATAGGGGTATGTATGTTTATGTGGGGATATCTGATGAGGACATAGACATTCACACTTGGCATATAGGGGTATGTATGTTTATATGGGGATATCTGATGAGGACATAGACATGCACACTTGGCATATAGGGGTATGCAGGTTTAAATGGGAGTATCTGATGAGTGCATAAACATACACCCATTGCAAACCCATTGTTTATAAGGGGGTATCTGATGAGAACATAGACATGCATCCTTAGCCAGTAGCCCCCACTCACACCTGAGCATTTTGATGTAAGTTTATTGAAACTCAACAACACCCAACATGAAGATTCCCATGAGTGTCAGTGGTTTCTGTTCACACTTGGGTGGTGTTGTGCTCAGAGAAGTATGTGAGGTTTTTATTTTGGGTCAGGAGTGCACAGTTTTGGCTCCTCCTAATAACTAGTTTTCCATTGGCTAAAATAAAAACTTTCAAACATGAAAAATGCTTAAAAAAAGCTACACAATCACCTAAAACTGCTGACTGTCAAGTGTGTATGAAGCCTGATGGTTTTGCTTGTCCATTTGGGGGCATCTGATGAGCAGATGAACGTATCCTCCTGGCCTGTACCGGTCTACATGTTTATATGCTTATCTTCTTAACCAGTTGACATCCACGGTGTTAAACCCCCTTCCCATCCAGGCCATTTTTCAGTATTCAGCGCTGCGGTACTTTGACTGACATTTATTCCGTCATGCAGCGCTGTACTGAAATGAATTTTATACCCTTTTTTGGGGACAGATAGAGCTTTCTTTTGGTGGTATTTATTCACCACTGGGGGTTTTATTTTTTTACTATATTAAGGAAAAATTACCGAAATTTTTATAAAAAAACAGTTTCCCCTATATTAAATGATAAAACATTTATTATTACCCAATTTTTTGGTAAAATATAAAAGATGGGGTCACGTCGGGTAAAAAGACACTAAACATGTCAAGCCTTAAAATTGCGTGCGCGCGCGAAACCTCAAAAAACGATAATACCCAAAATTGGCCCTAGGCGACGCTTTAAAAGCTGTTACCGCTCATCAGTTTAGTGTTTTCAGTGATTGATGGCCCTAAAATGATTGCTCTCACTGCGACGTTCGCGGCGATATGTAACATGTGTAGCGCAATTGTAATTTTTGCGCGCTGGGGCACCGGACGCGTATTTACGTTTATAGGCGCGTAAACGTGGGGGTGGGGGAGTTAAACATTTTGGGGGGGTTTTTTCCCCTTTTTTT